CTCTTTGCTCTATTACTGGTGATTGATGTGGATTTCAAATTGTATCTCAATTAATATTTTTATTTAAGCCTAGTGTTATCGTCCTCTGCTACATTCATCATACAAATGTATATACAAATAATTTGCATTTTTCCATTGAAATGATCCAGAACCTGTTAATTTTGTTGAATTATGCTTGTATTCCATATGCAGTATGCTTCAAACATAACACTAGTAACTTTGTATATAGTCTATACTCAGTTACCACAGGAGTTTCCCTTCCTTAGTGAATCAGAACCATAACCAAATTCTCACTCCCCAAGTGTCACTGGTTTGTCAACCGTGAACTTTGGGCTGTTTGTCCCCCTGTCACCCTCAACAAATTTGTGAGCCAGAAAAGCATTAATAGAGCAGCGCAATGAACGGTGACCCCACCGGTGGTGTGAGGGTCAAGAATTGGACAGCTCCCAATGACCATTAGCAATCAGTCATCTGTTTGAGTTATGGCATTGGCCATTTGGGCTCAAGGTCGTTGGAGCTTCTGGCAATGTGATGGTGAGGGCTGTCAGGCCCAATGACATGCCCTCTGTTGGCCGTCAACAGCCCTTGTTGACAAGCCGTCATGCTTGACAGATAGCAACCTGTCTCCGGGGGCTTGGGTCAGTTGTTGTCATCCTTTGCGGGGTCAAACAAAGTACCAGGGAAAGCACATTTGTCAAACTCTTGTCAAGCTGCTCCGGCTGTGTAGGTTTCTCTGGCAGGTTTTCTCTTCCTTGATCTTCAAGTGGGTTTCTCATCTGTTTGAGATTATTGGGGCAATCATTGACTAGAAAGCAACTGTGAGCTCCTTGAGACAAGAGGTGACTAGAACTGTAATGATATCTACAAAAGTTTCTGCAAACACCCCATGGATTTTTTGAATTCTGTGAGGTATACTCTAATGATTTTTCCTAAAAAAAAATTGAAAAATCCATAAATATTTCAATATCAAGCCCACCATGAGATCCCATGGCTAAATTTCACTAAAAATTACTCATGTATAGTATTGAACAAACTGCATTGAACAAACTGCATTGAACAAACTGTGAAGGTACATGGTCCAGATCTCAATCAGATCAGAAACATGAAAAAAAAATCATATTTAATTACATTATTTGTGTAAGTTACAACTTGTAAAAAACTACCATCCTTCAAATCATTGGCAAATGAAACACAAAATAAAATAAGAAACAGAGGAGTAAGATATAATTCATTAAACCATGACAAAGTACAGCTCTGGTCATGTTTTTTTTGACAGGACTTCCAAGATGGCTGACATAACATTGGGCTTGTCTTTTTGAATGTTCAATGTGGAAGCATTTATCCCACCCCTTTTTTCCAGCCAGTCAGGCTCATATATATCAATGGTGAAAGATTGGGGGGGCTCGATTGTGCTAATTGTGGGATCCTTTGGGCGTCGGCGTATACGAGGAGGATTTCCTTTGCGCGCAAGAACCGCGCCTTGCAGCTGATTTTCTCTGTAAGTGTCAAGCATCAGAAAAGCCCGTTCCACCTCTTTACTGCGCCATGGTAATTGTAGAACTTTGCAATACTTTTGTCGCTGGGCTTTTGCAATGGTTAACGTTGGTAAAATTTCGTTATCGGTTTCGTCGTCACTGCAACACTGCTGTATGATGGGTAAGAGGGTTTCCAAGCCACCGATCTCAACAGCAGTTGTACTTCGAGTTTGTTTGAGCTTAAGGCCCCGGGTGAAAAATAACACCATGATCATTAGCCAAAGTGTTTTTTCCAGGAGAATTCACAAAGCACACACGTACGTTATGTTTTCGCACATTCCTCATTTGTTTGGCGGCTTGTTCTTCTTGGTGTTCTTTAGGCCAAAGTTTCTTCTCTCGATATCTATGATTTTTTTGTTGCAATAGCTCCATCAATCACACATTCACCAGAGATAACAGAAGAAACTTAATTATATCACCTTGACTCACTTTCGCATTAATCGATCCTTTGCATAATCTTTTATTGCCTGCATCACCAATTTGGAATTTATTTCTTGCGGACGTAATCCGGTGTACTCTTTTGCTTCTACTAAAGCCAGGAAGGTATCTCGCGCCATCTCCCAGCAAAATATGTTTGCGGGAGCGGAGATGCCAGCGGTAAGGTCAGGGCGGAATCGGTACATTTCTCGAGCGCACATCATGCTATACATGATCTCAAGTTGTTGAGGCGAAGCATCTGGGTGGCCCGGGCCCTCACGGTATGGGAAATGGGGGTCTGAATCGTCGTAGTCGTCTCCGTTACTAGGTATGCTCAGCGCTTCAGGTGTTTGGGTGTCGTGCTGTCTAAACCAGCGCTTTACCTCCTGAGAAGACGGAGGCGAAGGAGGGCATTGATTGCTGCGACCATGGATTGGTTTCTGACCCAAAAGAGCGGTCAAGTGGTGCCGGACAAGTTCCTAAGGATTCATGATCGCGGTCAGTCATCCATGGTACATGTATCAAGTCATGTTAGCGAAGAGGTACAGACCCTTAGTCTCGGGGATGGGAGCGGTAATGGGTCCTCAGACCTATTTATTTCTTTGCCGCGCCTCGACGTACCCTCCGCTCCCTTCTCTTGGCCGTTTGCCTGGATTTTATCCCAAATGGATTCGAGTTTTTCGGCAATATCGCGCTGGGTCTGTTGAATGTTGCTTGTATCCTCTTGGAGCGCCGATACTTGCATACTTTGTTGTTTGAGAAGTCTCATCATCTGGTCTTGATCGTTTTTTAACCGGCTGAGCGTACGAGCGACCGTAATAAGAGATTCGGGGTCATGTGGTATGGCGTTGTTATCTTGATCGATGTCAGTTTCAGGGTTGGGCGAACCCAAAGTCATCTGCTCATCTGCATCGTTGGTTGGCCCGAGAGATTTCGTGGACTCGGCCGTTTTTTTGCGATTTTCATTCTGCACTTCTTGATGGCTAGTTTTGGGCGTGTATAATAAGTAGTAGGTGTTAGTTTCTCGTTCATTTCTCGCTGGAAATGAGCTTGAGGCCAATTGAACATTTAAATTTACCGACTGCGTTCCGTAGGAGGCCCTCTTGCTCTTGTAGTAGTAGTACAGGGACTTCGGTTCAAGTCTGATTGAAATTGGGCGTCATCGAGCACATTCGAAGAATGTGGTGTAAGTAGTCCACTTGCTGATTGGGTTCTGATTGGGGTATGGCCTTGGCTCACATCGTGCGCATGGTCGGAATTGGAGTGAGACGCTGTAACTTGGTCGGTTTGTCCCCTAGGGCCGGGGATTGGATGGATGTCAATACCATGCCCACCATCTTGAGTTGCCGATTCTGTACGTTTTTTTTTACTTGATCAATTGAAAGAAAGATAGAAAAACGGTCACCTCTCTGTGTGGCATATGTGAGGGGAGATAAAGATACACATGCACAGGGAAAATGAGCTTACTTAGTGGTGCGTACGCAACACAAAGCTTGACCAGCTGGTCCTTGCTTTTAGAAGAAAGATTTGTACAACCCAGATCGCTCAGCGTGCTTCTCATCTCTTCGACAGATACATCTGCAAACTGTGATGTTAACTCGACGGCATTTGGATAATTCTTGAGGCCAGGTATCGGACGTGAGGCATCAAAAGTGTACCCCTCCTGCAAGTTGTCAGATTTTTCGGCTGCCTTCTTGGCAGTTGCCTTCTTCGGTGGTGCCTTCTTGAGAGGTGTTTTCTTCGCACGTGCCTTCTTGGGATGTGTCTGCTTGGGAGGTGCCTTCTCGGGGATTCTCTTCTTGGAATGGACCTTCTTGGCAAGGGTCTTCTTGGCAGCGGGCTTCTTGGCAGGGGCCTTCTTGATAGCGGCCTTCTTGACAGTGGGGTTCTTGGCCGGCGCTTTCCCTTTGGCTGCCCGGGGCGTGGATTCTTCCGTTGCCGGTTCTGACAAATCGGAACTAGGCGTGATCTCATTAGCCTCCTCGTCGGGCTCGCTCTCGCCATCCGTCTCGTCGTTGTGGCCAGGCTGAAGTTTTGCAGGGGCCTTCTTGACAGTGGCGTTCTTGCCCCGCGCTTTGGCTGCCCGTGGCGTGGATTCCTCTGAAACCGATTCAGAGGAATCGGAACTAGTCGTCATCTCATCGGTTTGCTCAGCGGTGTCGCCATCTGTCTCGTCGCTGTGGCCAGACCGAGCTCGTTTGCTACGGGCTCTCTCGGTGCTGCTAAAGTTGGAGGTCTCACTAAAGCTACTGCTGTCTGTCGGGGAGGTAAGATCACGTTTCCTTTTGGTTTGAGTCGGTGACGGAGGGGGAGATGGAGATGTTGGTGTTGTTGGTATAGGTATAGGATTGGCTTGAATAGGTATAGGGTTGGCTTGGACTCGGCAACTGCGTCGCAGGCGCATAATTGCCAACACGCAACGCAATTTAAAAATTAAAGATAAGGGATGGCAGGATCGACCTTGATGATGTAGAAATGGGAACAGTTAATTGGGGGAGGTTTGAAAAGCGGGGCTTGACCTTGAGTTGAAAAGATGAATCAAGGGATCTATATACAACCCTGTGATGATCAAGAAGTTAGGCAAAAGAATTGGGACAATCGTGCTGCCTTACCAAAATAACAAAAACATTTCGCAAAAAAAAACTTATCGTAGGGCCCTTTGAATACCTACAAAGGATGCCTTTATTGGCCAACACCCTTGAAACTAGTGCCTGAGGGGCTGAGGCACTATAATAGGCGGCTGAGGCAACTAAGCTTGTGAACTGTGTTTTCAGCGGTGGCGCTCATTGAGAGGAAAATGCCACCGAAGGACATCGGGCTCCCAAGTGCAACTATGTACGTGCGTGAACCTGTGGCACGCAGGTCCAGTAGGCTCAACATAGAGTTGCTCAACATAGAGTTGGGCCCATGTTATACACGAGTCTTCTGGTCTAAGTGGGTTTGGGTCCGCGGACAGATTAAAAGAATATGCCTATTGATTAGTGGAGTAACCGGTTGAATGAAGTTGATGATTCGACGAATGACCAGCCGGTTGGTGCCCGACCGGTTCTGAGCTCCGCTCGGGCACCAACAGTCGCGGGGATCAGATCTGTCCCACCACGGTTGCACCGGCGGTGGCGGGGGAGTTTTGTGCTGACTTGATATTTATGTAAGTCCCCCCACCGGTGAGCCCCCCGATGAGAGACAGGCCGGAGGTCCCTTCAGTCCCAATGGGAGAATGACAATTTATCGCTGATTGCCCGGAGGCTAAACCAGGGCCCTCCGAACCAGCCAGCCGGCAGAGCGTGACACGTTTTTGGTCTAACACGGGGCAACGCACAGACAAGACAGTAATATATATATAATACATAGAAAGAATGTATCTACATACACGGCAGAAAGATAGCCATGGCTTGATCTATGACCCGTACAATACAGGGGTCGGTAACATATAATAAGTAATAGAGGCATCCGTCGAGATATGTACACGCAGTCAGTGGTCAACACCGAAAGAATTTCGCCGGAAAAAAATCAAACTATGAAAAACTCTGGCATCGAGTGGATAACAATACTACAAGAGAGTAACTGGGTCTTCAAATCTAAGAAGCTGGACTTTTAGGGCGTTTGGAGGCTACGTCACTCGCGTCCTCATCCAGAAACCGTTTGCTTGAGCTTGAAGAAGATGGCATTGGACCCTGGTTGACGATCTCGGTCGTAGAATTGCGAGCTGCATAGCTCATTAGGGACGGCAGATCACCGTTCGGCAAAGGGGAAGGTGAGGCGCTGGGGGCCTCATTCCGCCGATCTGGTATTGAGGAGGTCATCAGCATGAAGTCAAGTACATTTCACATGGGTAAACTGAACTGACCTTCCAAGTCATGCGGCGGACTGCCGGAAGCACTTTCCCTTCCGAAAGAGGCCCCTCCCTCACGGCGAGGTGACGGGTTTGGACTTGGCAAGTGCTGCAAAGCAACCATGATTGACGCGGCACTCATCTGACGGGACTCTTCGGTGGGATGTGTGGCTGGTTATTAATCAACAAAGAGAATCTAAGATCAATCATCACATCTGTCTAGATTTTTCAGAAGTATGCATGGAACTCACGATCAGTCGCCGGTACAGGGGTGCCATCCTCGCTCATAATCCCAGCAGTTTTCATCATTTTAACCAATGCGTATATACGAGTCAGTTGGTCCATCAAAGCCATGAATTCGGGGCGTTCGTTGAGGGTGCGGACGATTTTGGCGCGATACTCGCGTTCTTCGAGAAGGTCTGTCGTTCCCATCTCCGCTATGATATCGCTTGTCATTGCGAGTTCGTCAGTCCGGATTTGTGTAATCTGTTCTCGGCAGGCGGTGATAATTGCTACACGTTCTTGGGTTGTGAATTCTTGGAGTCTTGCCGCCACCACCGCAGGCCCAACTTGTCTGTGTAAGACCCCAATGAGCTCATTCAAAGATTGGGTGGAGGTTTGAGGGGTCGGAGGTGGATTTGGGGCCCGGGGACTATTTCTGACTTGATCCGTTCGGCCGTTACGCTCTTCGGTGCCTGCTCCTCCCGAGGCATTTGCGTTCGAGCGGACGTGGGCTTCTAGATTGTAGAGGCGTTGCAAGATCTGAATCAACACATCTTAAATATAAAGGTCAAAAAGCCCGGTCAGATGCTAGTTTCATATCCTTCGAACCATTGCTAGCTACATAGAACTCACCCATGTGATCTGCTCTTCTCCGAAAAAGCTGCCTGACATCATCACCTGCGAGCAACCGCCGAAGGCGCCAGAAAATTTCAAAGCCTCAGCGGAAGATACAGATAGGATTTGGAACTACATGAGACTCACGCAAGCGAGCTTGTCTTTGGTCCAAGCGGCCGATTTGACCGCCCACGGTAAGGAGGCTATCAAACGCCGAACCATTTGGGAAACCAATGATGCTGCGAAGCTGGGCTTCAATGGCCCTGAAGCGGTATTCGTTGGGTGCTGGTTCGGGAAGGACATGATCTGATTGGTCATCATCCAATTCGTCATCATCAGAAGCGTCAGCATCGGATCCGTCATCATCGGATCCGTCATCGTCGGAGCCGTGTACGGGGACTGCGATGGCGGAAGAAGAATGAACGAAGAAATCAGCAGTTGTAAAGAGGGCCTAGTTGTGGCTGGGAGTAAATGAATTAAAGCAGTCTTACATCTGTTGAGATCGGAGGAAGCTGGAGAATCAGGAGTGGGGGGTCCAGAAACTGGAGATTGGTTTGGACCTGAAATGGGATGCGAAATGAGGATTTATGATGAGGACATAGTTGAAGCTGACAGTATAGAACAACAGACGCGGAATACTTTGGTTGATGACGGAGATAGGTGGTGAAGCATAATCACCGCGCTCAGATCTTGACGAAATGGCTCGGGTCTAAGATAGAAGTTAGAACGCAAAAGAGAGAAAAATAGGGCTATGAGATCGCTGGGGTGTGGCAAAAGAGTGCAAAGACTCTTACTTTGGTTGGAATGGGAAGAGGGTGGTGAAAGTATGATTGCCTCGCGAAGATGGCGTGGAACTGGACGAGCTCAAGGGAAACGGCCATCTTTCAAAGTGAGGACTCACTCATTGTGCACTTGAAAGAAGTAGGAAAAACTCAGGCAACTCTAGTGAGTTTCAATCGAAAGAAGATAATGATATGTGGGTTGTTCTAATCGGAGGATGTCCTCAGAGGTGGCGATTGGATTGAATCAAAAATACATCAATGTTGAGGACGTCATTGGATTTTATGCTACCCCAGACGGTACTCAATCGTGAGACTGTTTGGCCTGCCACACTCATCAATGTTATGCAACAAGAATGAGGTCTGGTGTAGGAATTCCTTTGCGCGTTCGGCTTGCGCTGAAATTGCGTGGGGAGGTAGTAGCATCCTTTGTTAAGTCGCCGGGCTTCGTTGGAGCATAGTTCCATTTAGGGTAACTGTCCTAAGGCTTGCGGCTCAGGATGCTTTAGGGGGGACTTGGTGGGCAGCCATCGGAGCCTGCCTGCGACTGGCATGACAGCCAGTGGGCCAGGATTTTCGGCTTCCCTTTGTGATCTTCGGTGGTTTTCTTCCATGGTCAGCAGGAAAGGATCATGGGCTGAAGTTTGGGCGATTCACTGGAGGTGGGTATTTAATTAGGGAGGGCAATGACCGGCAGTTATGCCGACGAGCTAGCTGTGTCCCAAGGGGAGTGGTTCACGAGCTTGCCTAGCTGAAGCCAATTGGAGGTGGCTCGAAGGCCTTGGGGGATTTTGCTTCCATTAATTGGGTACTGTGGGTGAGTCCGCTACATGAGGCCTGTAAGACCACACACCTTACATAGATGGTTTCTTACCTATGGCTTCATCCCTTTGGGGGTTTTCGGAGTTTATAAAGCTGGTTAGGTAAGCTTGATCTCCCAATGTGATCATCTTGCAGGTCTGGGGGAAGGGGAAGGGGGATGAACAACATGGTGCTAGACATGTACGTTTCGCTAATCGGCGTACTTTGTGCAAAGGTCCTTCTGAATCTTTGTGGATGAAGCGAAGTGTTCATGTCCCAAGCTGATGAACCTACCCAGGGAATGGGCACAAGGGCTGGGGTTACCACCAGCGGTGTCTCACCTGCTATCACGCGCCCTCAGCACATACTCGTGGGGATTCGTACGG